TCACCCGAACCCGACCCGAAACAGCCCCGAACCCCATTAGACCCGAACCCGATCAGACCCGAACCCCGAACAGTATACTTCGGGTTGTGTCTTTTTACCCCGAAACCCGATCGGGTTAGCCATTTTCGGGTCCGACCCGACCCGACCGATGCAATGGCCTACGTGAGACCAAGGGTTTTTCGTGAGACCCGTGAGACCAAATTATATTCATTGATCAACTTTATAAGTTAATGATCTAATGGTCTAAAATTGCATGGTAGCAATTTTGTAATTATTGAGAAATCTCGTGTCAATTTTGTGATTATGAATATTGAGATTGTAGATCTAATCCAAGGGTTGAGAATTGGTCTTACGGGTTCACGAAAAAGCCTTTCTTCTCATATGATCCCAAGTCTATATATATATATATGTGTGTGTGTGTGTGTGTGTGCGCGCGTGTGTGTGTGTGTTTGTATTAAGAACTAAAATATTGGATTTTTTTTCGTTACATATATCATCTAACATGACAAACTGGTAACTGAAAGTAGTAGCATGCATACATATTTATGATATTTATGCTAAGTTATGAATAAGATATACGATTTGGGACGAAATAACACGGTTCATGGACAATGTAAACTAGGTTGGGCTGAAACGAGCTTGAGACCGAAAACTAGGCTTTCCGGGCTCTTTAGCGCCAAGCTTAGGCTTAAGCCTGGGGTAAAAAATTCGGACCCCAATGGGCTTTGAGGCCTGGCTTAGACTTCAGGCGTACTAGACCCGAGCTTTTTTATGCTCAGCTCAAGTTGGGCTTTAGGTTTAGGCCTTTTTGTGTAAATTTATTTTAAACCCCTATTCAACAATATTTGAAGGCCATCATTATGATTTTTATGAGCTAAAAAAAAGTGTTCTAAAAGGCTCGCTACGATAGTTATCATGGCACCATGGCTCAAGGCTTATCTCCAACGTCACATTAAACTCGTCACACGTCATGGCCCAATATTCGGTTTTTGTATGATGTTATTTGATTTTCTTAATTGTCTTAGTTTTTAATTTTTTAGTATATAACCTAATTTAAATTGTTCTATATCGTTGAGTTATTTAGTAATAGTAATCTAGTTTATCAAATATTTTTGCAACAATATATATTATTAAAACGATCAGTAATATCAAATATAAAAAACACGAATCTCATAAAACCATCTTTTAGTTTGTTAACTACATAGTCAATCTTGGCGAAAGATCATGTGAGAATGAGGGTTAAGGTGAGAAATGTAAGAAGAGATCTAGACCCTTGATTATCTTTAATATATCTCAAATCCATCCATGAATCACGTTTGATACGGGGACTGATCCAATGCATCTCATCTCGGTTCATTTCATTCTAATATGCATTTAAGAGTGGAGATCCCCTTTTTCCAATTCTCACCTTAGCTCTTCTTCTGATCGGAATCCAACGCATGTAATCTTCACATCTTTTCACATAATAAAAACAGAAGAGCATTTTGAAAGGACAAAGGCTCACACATGCTTTTTTGCCATTATATGTTTATAAAATGTTGGATGTATTTGTATACGTGTTTTTGTCATGATAATCATATCACTAACTCCATGTGACTATAACATGTTGTGATGTTTGCATTTGTTTGAATTTTAATGTTAAGTAATATTTAATTTTGAGAAATATGGCGTGGGTTTAAACAATGACAAATTAGATGATGATAAATTATGTGTATTTAAATAGAGTTAATTAAAATATAAAAAGCTTTCGGAAATGTTGGTTGTATTAGAGGGTATAATTTGTGGAAATAATATAATCTGACGTGACAAAAACAAAAAGGTCTTTGAAGGACTTTTTGCATTGTGGATGCTCTTAGATTGTGCAATTTCGTTCTAACAACTAATTGTTTGAACTAAAACTAAATAACATTGGTAATTATGTTACATTGACTAACAAAAGAATCGGGCAAAAGAACCCTGGCCAAATCACATGCATATGCTTTTACGAACGAGGTAGTTGAGTCTTTTTTACTCTTAGGCGGGGTTTTTATTTTCAAGGAATACCATATATATAAAAAGCGCAACAAGGTAATTTATGTTACTTGTTGGCGAGGTCTGTCAATTTCCATGAATGTAACACACCTAAATTTCTTAAACTGCCAAACAAAATAAAGTTTCCTAAACTCCTTTGATTCAATAAAACTTAAAATACATAAAAGTTTACTAAAAAGGAGAACAAGGTAAGTATTGGAGTTCTAAATGAACTATCTAATTCCCAAACAAAATTAGTACAACTTGGGTGTTACTAAAACCTCCAGGTTTGCTATCTTCAAAACCGGATGACGTTTCTAAAGTCATCCTACCGGAATCTCTATAAAGCTCTGGACGCCTCTCAAATCCCACTAAAACCTGATATACATGTCGATAAAAAAAGTGTTGGGCTTAACGCTTAGTAATTCGAGCAGTTTTATCATACAAAGCATAAAATGGTTAAAACGAACATTTTCCTTTAAAACACAAGTCATTAAAAGGAAAATCTCTACCAAGCTTGTTGTTTCAAATTCAAATACTTGTTTTAGATAAATAACTAATATCCAAACTCACCTGAAACGTGCACAAGGCGCAAAATCCAAAACACCAATTACATAGATAAAACTGTATATTCAAAACACCGAAAGATGGGTCACGAAGTACCCAAAAACAACTTCTTTTGGTGATGGGGAAGACCCGCTTCCATTGCATGTGGCAGGAATACAAAAGTAAGTTACTTATCAACGTTCTTGAGTTTCTCCTCGACCAAGGATCCTCGTATATGACTCCAATGAGTATCACCGCAAGATTCCCATGATGACTTTAATGTCTATTCGACCTCTAGATGAGTCTACCAAAAAGTCATCGGTCTTTATACATAGCTCCAATGAGTACCATTGCAAGACCTAGACCCATATACAACTCAATTGAGTACCACCACAAGCTAATAGCTCCATATACGACCCAATAGGTTACCATTGCAAGCTTTCTACTCATGACTTGGGGACCACTCACTAGACTTAAGTGTGGACATCAAAACTTCATGCTTAACAATAAGATAGACTTCTATGCTTATGGATCCAATATATTACAATCTAAAATTACATGACTCCAATTGAATAACCAACGCATATAAAACATGTAATATCCAATAAAATATGCAATAAATGCTTTGTACGCCAAAAGCCCTACAAATGATGTGTTACAATGAAAGCTAAGCCTTGTAATAGTGGCATAGTGATTAGCTTGCCGGTAAGCTAATCCTCGATGCCGTAATGAGTTATTTAGAACAACGACCTTCAGCAAGCGCAAGTGTATGATTTTGCCCAAGAAAATCACCTTCAGGACTACACATTACCTTAATGCCAAGAAAATATTTCCGTAGTCCTAGATCCTTTGTATGAAAGCAAGTAATCAAATTGATTAAAATCATTTAATATTGTGGAGTCATTACCAAATATAATTAAATCATCTTCATAAAGCAAAACATTGAGCTGTATATCTTGTTTCGTAAGGGTGAATAAAGATTAACATATCCACTTAGAAATGTACGAAACCATACAAGACATATTGGTTCTTGTTTCAATCCATACATGACATATTGGTCGAAGTAGATTCTTCTTTTTATCAATCAAAAACCCTTCCAGACTATACAAGCTTAATTTGTGCAATCAACAAACCATATCAGAGCTTGAGGATTGAAACCCTCAGGGGTAAGTTTATATACACCACCTCATCTCGTCACCATTTTGCCCACTGAAGCAAATCATTGTAATAATCTCTGATCACCTTATGATTGCTAAACACAATCAACCATGCTTTGTCGTTCAATGTTTCCATCCAAATTGAATTTAATTTTGTCTGCCCAACGACTATCAAGGGCCTTCTTCCTCGGAGAGAGTTTTCTCATAATCCAAGTATCATTATCTTCCATTGCACATATCTCCTTTTGCATTATGTGGTGCCACCTATCACCCTTCAATGCCTCTTACAACTTGACAGAAGGTAGCTTATGCAACAACCCCTCCCTAAATTCTCATTCACATTATGTACGTCCTCAGTTGAAACCTACTCACCCCCTTAGAAGTCAAAATCATGTTCGTCGAGGTTGCTCCTCCATCCTAGGTTTGATGGATACATGTATCTTCTATTAAATCAACATCATTTCCAAAAAACTAATCGAGCAATAAGGAAGCACCATGGTCGACCATTTTCCATAATTGAAAATATATCTTCATAAAACATAACGTCTCAAACCGAAGAATTTCCTAGCATCCAGATGAGATAGTTACCGTCCCTTCTCTCCAAAAAGATAATCCAAGATTACATATTTGTTATTGGGACTTGCAAATTTGTTCCTCTTCACTTAACAAAACATAATGAACACAACACTTTTAAGTTTGTAATAGGTTGGCAAAGTGCCAAAACCTCATAAAGACATTTACCATCTATAACTATGGATGAATAATAAAGAACCAATGTCCCTAGAAAAGTAATGCTAGAGCTACAAGTAAAATGTAATGGCTTCTCTACCGTTCAGTTTCACTTTCACTAAGGACATAATATATAAACAACTTAAAATACTCCTGAATTATATTGTTTATCTGAAATCATAAGAATCGCGATAAAAAAGAATATAGCTTTAAAAAGACCATAGCTTAATAACTTGTTTTTTCCCCTAACTTTGCTTTATATTAAAAAAAACATATCAATTATTTTAAAATAAACCCCTCTCTTAATGAATTAACCCTTTCCCACCATGTAGACATGTCAACATTAACCATCTCTTTTTTATATTTTCTATACACAAATGAACTACAAATATAATCAAAAGTTGCTACCAAATCAAATATAATATTATTATTTTTGCTATAGAAAACAAAGAAAGAGGGAGGTTATGGATATTATAACAAATTAAAGCTACATTATATACACTTGTTACATTAATCTATTACCAACTTGCTCCATATTAGGTCAAACCAGCAGGTTTAAGATATCCTGTTCTCATATATGTTTAATCATCAAACTTGTATCTTCCTCAGAAAAAAAAGATGTTTATTTCATTTGTGTAAAAAGATTTATCATAAGCTTGAAGATAACATATCATGGACATACTCATTGAAGAGAACCACCACAAGAATCTTGATTTTTTGTAGAGAGTTTCTTGAGGAACTCATAGGTGGTGATCATTGTAGTTGCAGACATCGCCATTGAAACCCATCTTGGCCCCAACCCTCTGTAACACGCACTCACTCCACCTTCCTTCATCAATTTCCTTACCGTTGCTCCAATCCCATTACAACCTTCTCCATCTAAGACTTGAAGTCTTGTTTTGATTGTATCCAATGGCATCGTAACCAATGCAGAAACCCCACTTGCCACGGCGGCACTCGTAGCCTGCACCGCCACCACCGCCTTTGAATCAGGAGTAAACCCAACTCCTCCTCCACCACCACCACCGTTTCCTTCTTTCTTCAAACGACAACCAATCCCATTCCAAATCGCCCGATGTGCCATGGAGTAAGATGCCCACCAAACGGCATTCGATGGGGCATATGTCAAGATCGAAATCCCAAATCCTCTGTATAAGCCTCGAACACCATCTGTATGGATGATTTTCCGGAAGGCATCAATGCCACCGGTGTATTTGAAAGCACCGGAGACGGTGGTTTTGGCACCATTTCCACCCTGAACCATTAATCTCTGACTCACAACATCAATCGGTGTCCAAACCATTTGTGCCGCCATGGCTGCAGTTACTCCAGCTGCAGCATTCGCAATTGCAGCCGCTTTGGCCTCCGAAAACCCCATCTTCAGCGTGGCACAACCGACATTACTCTTGGTTATTTCCAGTGCACCCATGTAAAGAGCTCTTGCCGGAATAGTACCCATTAACGACGTCCCAAATCCTCTATAAAACCCCCTGAAACCATCATGTCGGAGAATGGAGACAGCCATCTTAAAGCAGGGCGTATCTTTTACAAGCACTTGTTGCCGTGTTTTCAACACCACCGTCGGGTACAACATACCGGAAACACCGGAAAACAAGGCGGCACCAAGGAAGAAGAACTTGGACTTATCCAACATCTCCCAGTCAATGTCAGCTGGGAGATGAATTTCCGTACCGGAATCATCCTCCGCCACTCCCAAACTCATTTTCGCCACTTTCTCGTAATCAATTCCACTACTTTCTCGATCCCGATACCACCAATATCACAAAATTAAAAAACAAAACACCCAAAATATCGTATCGAGTTTTTCTACAAACACCTTAGCTACAAGTCAGCTTAATCAATCAAATCAGTGAATCACCTACTCGAACTAATAAAAATTAACCCTAATCCAACAAAAATGAACAATCAGGACGTTGACTAATTAAACAGAAGAACAAAAACCCTGATCCCAGAATTGGGTACAGACCACGAAAGTTATCCTTATGCTGGTGCAAGTCTAAATAGATTACTTGGATCTACCAGAAACAACTTTTTTTCCGTTTGCGCAGACAGATTTGTGAGCGAACGTGAGTTACCAAAAACGGATCGAACATCTCCAGCGATGGTGAAGATGGTTAAAGGGGGGATTGATGATTGAGATCCTTAAAGAGCAATTGAGGGGGATCATCGGAAGAAGTTGTACAAGGAGATCTGATGGAAGGAAAGAGAAATAGATTCGAAATGGATTGGATTAGATTGAGAGATTATTATAACAGAAAAATGGCGGAAGAGAGAGTGGTGGGGAACTGGGGATGTTAATGGATTTTCAGGACGATGGTTTTCGGATCAGGTTGATTTGGACGCGTGTCGGTTAACTTCTCTAGTACATTCACTATGGCTCTATATATTCTGACCGGTTAATCCCGTATTAGTTAATTATATTAAATTATTTTATAAAGTTATTCGACTGGCCACGTGTTGCTTTTTTATTCAGATTGCAGGCATTTTTTTTTTAATTTTAGTTCTGACCGATTGACGGTTGCCATTGGTATTGGTGAAGGCAGTATATTTTCATAAAGACCCTTATAGTTTTGCAATTTTACACTAAACCTACTTCAACTAAGAATTTTTGTTTTTCCCCAAATGTCAAAATTAAAATAAATTTGACATTTTGGTACATAAAGAGAAAAAGTCTTCATATGTTGCTGTTTAATCAAACGGAAGTAGTTGATATAACAGACGCGTCATGACGGGTATTGATTGTGTGAGGCATGAGCTATGGCGGTTTCAGACACATTTTCTACAAGGGGTGTTAGTTTTCTCTATTGATTATTTTTTAAAAAAATTAAAAAATTGTGTTTTTCAATTCTAAATTTATGTTTTGCAAAAAAAATTTCCAAATTTACATGTCAAAATCAGGTTAATTCATGCATATAAGAAAGAAAGTACTAAGTAGGAGTACATTTAATAATGTATAGAGATACAATTAATCTTCTCTTAAAATAAAGGTGTAAAACACTTGTAGAACTTATTTTGAATATCTAATCATAGATTTTCATATTAATATTACGATATTTCTCATCTAACATGATTTCTACCATATGATAATATATATATATATATATATATATATATATATAGAAAGAGAGAGAGTGGTTGGTTATTATACAACCCTTTAAATTTGTACAATCAATACAATCCAATCTCAACTGTCCATTTAATTTAATGAATATGTGATTTCATAGAAGTTTTGATTGTTTTTTAATATAAAGTATTGATCATAATTAATGAATCTTATTCATCTTTCATAAATATTCAAATCATAATAAATGAACTCTTATCATTTTCATAAATATCTCATTTAATTTGGTTGCATTGGTTGTATAAATGGACATAGTTGTATTTGAAATATACCCTATATATATATATATATATTATAAAACATTTCATACAAACTTTTAAAAATCATTTTTGATTTGTTATGTACTGTTTATTGATATATACTACTTAAAATTCAAGATTACAAATAAAAAATGCATATGTTCAACTTATTAAACCTCAATGTTCGAATTCGTATAACTAACTACGGATAAACATAATTAAATACAAGATAAACATCTCATTTTTAAAATAAAAAAATCTAATATATAATTAAGATAATCATTAATTTCTAACAGATTTACAAAAAAGTTATTTTATTAAAAACCGTAAGAAAATTACTTCTTTATTAAATCTAAATTAAATTATAATATAAAATTTGAATTAAACAAATTA